GTTCGCGAGCCTTGGCTCGCGTTCGTGAAGAACAACCTACAGATCCCAGCCCACCTCCATTTACTCTACGCGTTCGCGTGATGCCAGTCGTGTTCGCGAATAGCAGACCCCCAAGTGCTCCGCGTTCGCGATCATGGCTACCCATTCGCGATGAACAAACCCTTCCCCAGCCCAGCTTACACTTCGCGGTCGTGAGAATGGCTTCGCGATCGTGAAGCACAAAATGCCAGAATACCAACTGCAGCAAAACACACCAGATTTCTTAGTCTAAAACATCTCGTAGCCTATCCGAAACTCACCCGAGCCCTCGGGCCTCCAAACCAAACATGCACGCAAGTCTTAAATTATCATACGAACTTACTCGTGCGATCACATCGCCAAAATAATGCCTAGAACTACGAATTTAGCACCAAATCATATGAAATTCTTAAGAACACTCTAAAATTCCTATTTCCACAACTGGACGTCCGAATCACATCAAATGAGTTCCGTTTCTCACCAAATTTCACAAATAAGGTATAAGTATTATTTTAGACATGTACCGAGCTCCAGAACCAAAATACGGGCCCGATACCAACAAGATCAAATATTAACCAATTTCTTACAACCATTTAATTTCTAGTACTTCAATTTTCATCAAAAATTCATTTGTCGAGTTAGAGACATCGGAATTTGATTTCGGGCATAGCCTAGGTCCCATATTTCGATACGGACCCACCGGTACTGTCAAAATATGAGTCCGGATCCGTTTACTCAAAACGTTGACCGGAGTCAACTAAATCAACTTTCAAAGGCAAATATTATTATTTTTATTAACTTTCAACATAAAAGCTTTCCGAAAATACGTTCGGACTGCGCACGCAAATCAAGGAAGAATAAAATGATGTTTTGAAGGCCTTTAAACACGGAGTCGAGTTCTAAAACATAAGATAACCTTTGGGTCATCACAACAAGCCTTGACCCACTAAGATTTTGACCCGCCATGCTCTGCCTCGTTTTGCCTTTTTCCAAATTTTAGCCCTGCCATGCCATGCCTTGCCTTATTAACCCCTGCCCCGCCCTGCCCATTTAGATTTTCTTTCATTTTTTCTCTTTATTTGATTTATTTAAAATTGACATGTCAGTAAAAGTATTTTATTGACATGAAATAGTTTATTTGTATCAGTTGAATAAAATATGATTTTTATCTGGCTAAATGTATTTAACCTTCAATGAATTGATATGTGTGTTTTTATTGAAGGTCCCTTTATACAATATATATATATATATATATACATATATAGGCCTTAACGAAATATCGTTCGTCTTTTTTACTCTTCATAAGTGTATTTAAAGTTGGCTAAAGTTGTAAATACAAGTGTACTTTTTTTTTTTGGAGAAAAAATATCCGTATAACAAAAAAGAAAAAGAAGAAAAGAATAAGTGGAGAACTCCTTCTTCAATTAATATCTGCAACAAAGAGTAACTGTCTTAGGTTAAAAAAGGGAAGAAAAAAGAAGCATTAATAGGAGAATAAATAGGAAATATTTAAGAGGTCAAAATTTCTTTAGTTCAAAAGGAAAAAATAACAAGAGAATAAGTAAGAAACGTGTTTAATATCCCTATTAAAAAGCATTAAGAGATGTCAGTTAATGTATCAATTTTTTTTGTGAGACACTAGG